GTAAACTACTCGGTCTCTGGGGCTCAGGTATATGGGATCTATACTTAGTTGAAATTTTAATTATGCATTTTTTAATTAAGTTGATATTGCAAAAAGACAAAATATGTATGTGTATATATATGAGAGTACCACAAAACTCTAAGGACAAAAAGAAGTTAATAAAGAAAACTTCAAAAATACAAACTATAAGTCCTCACAAGATACTGATTATGCCACAATTAAGGATTTCTGGTCAACAAAGAATATACTTATTTTAAAAGTATAAAAAATTTGAGGTTCTTTATGAAGACTAGAACTAATGAAATAGTCAAATAGTTTAATGTTTCAACAAAAAAGAGCTTTTTGGTAAAGTAACAAAGCCTATATAGTTATTCAAATACAATGTCTAGCATTCAATTCAAAGAATCATACATGCTAAAAAAAAGGACACTATAACCAAAACCCAAAAGACAAATAGATAACAGAAATAGAACCATCCACAGGTGATTCAGAAATGCAAGTTAATAAACAGGTACTTTTAAAAGGTCTATGAATAATATTCCCAAGAAAATATAAAGAAAGAGATGAAGGTTTTCATACAAGACAAATCTTGAGGAGAAAAAAATAAAAAAGTGGATATTCTAAAACTAAAAAAATACCAAACTAAATTTAAATTAGATATATTTTATAGCACATAAGACATGATGAAATAAATCAAAAATGATCTGGGAGTGAAAGCAAGGGAAAATATCTAAAGTGAAGCAAAGAAAGTGAAAAAGATGGAAAAGACAGGCATGAGTGGGGCTGGAGCGATAGCACAGCGAGTAGGGCTTTTGCCTTGCACGTGGCCAACCTGGATTCAATTCCCAGCATCTCATATGGTCCCCCGAACACCGCAAGGAGTAATTCCTGAGTGCATGAGTCAGGAGTAACCTTGTGCATCACCGGATATGACCCAAAAAGTCCCCTCCCCCCAAAAAAAGATATGCATGAGTGTACTTAACCTATAGAATACAGTAAGAAAAATCCAATATATTGATATGTAGAGAGCAAGAAGATTAAAGAATGAGACAAAAGCAATATTTGAAAAAGAAAACAAAAGGAAAGAATTTTCACAAAGTCTAGAAGCTCTCCATATCTCAAGTAGAATGACTGGCGAAAACCACAGCATGGCTTATCATAGTGCTAATAAGCTGACAGTCAAAGGTGGAGGGGATGTGGCGTGAGTGTAGAGTACACATATGCCTACACACACAGGCACCTGGGTCCATCTCTGGCACGCCTGGTCCCTAAGCACCAACTGTGGTCCCTACAAAACAAAAACAGAAGCCAAAGGAAGAGCAACAACAAAAATGTCAGCTGATTTACCCCCAGGGATGATGAAAGACTAAGGAGATGGGATTAAACATCTCAAGTGCTAGATGCATTTCATCGCACATAAGACATGATGAAATAAGTAAAAAATGAACTAGAAGTGAAAGCAAGGGAAAATAAAGTGAAGCAAAGAAAGCGAAAAAGATGGAAAAGACAGGCATGAGTGGGGCTGGAACGATAGCACAGTGGGTAGGGTGCTTGCCTTGTACACTGTCGACATGGCCAACCCGAGTTCGTTTCCTCCACCCCTCTCAGAGAGCCCGGCAAGCTACCCAGAGTATCTCGCCCTCAAGGCAAAGCCTGGCAAGCTACCTGTGACATATTGGATATGCCAAACATGGTAACAAGTTTCACAATGTCCGCTGGAGCAAATCGATGAACAACGGGAGGACATTGACAGTGACCGTGAAGTGCTAGAGAAAGAAACCAGTCAGAAGGGACCAGAGAGTTCAGTAGGTTAAGGCACTTACCTTTCCTACACCAGCCCTGGTTTGATTCCCAGCACCGCATATGATTCACCAAGCACTGCCAGAAGTGATCCCTGAGCACAGAGCCAGGAGGAAGCCCTGAGCACCATAAGTGTGACCCAAATGACAACAAAAACCACTATCTGGACCTCTACACCAAGGAAAAATACCCGCCCCCCCCAAATCATCAAGACATTTCCAAACAAAAACTGGAAAAAATTAAAACCCTCTCACAAAAACTCTCTCAGAAACACTAAAAGAAGTTCTTCAAAAGAAAAATATAAAAGCAATTACTATCTTCACTTAAAAAATGTTTAAAAACAGACTGAATTAAAAAATATATAATATCAAAATATAATCTGCTTACCTGGGATAAACTTTAAATATACATCAGACCTAAAGGAAAACCAACAAGTACCACAGGATCAAAATCCCAGAGAGAACGTAGGTCCTAAGCAGAAATAAATTAGAAAGGTACAGTGCTGCCAGCAGGGTGAGTGCATCAGCAGCCTGATGGTGTCTTCAGGCTTCCTGATACCCCAAAATCGGTGGTGTGCCTTTGGCCAGACCCCAACAACTCGGGACCAAGTTTCCCAAGAAATTAAATGGCCAAAAGTTAGGTATGTAGGAGCCAAAACCCACCTCTGGCTCAGCTATACAAGCCCGTTTATTGGCCTCACTTCAAAGACCCATAAATCAATCTAAAAAAATATCAACAGTCACAGTTAATCTTGGACTGCGCAAGGCTGAACAGACTGGGGTTAATTGGAGGGGAACAGGTTAGACTTGAGCCTGCCCCAGCAGAACTGCTTGCTCCTACAATCCAAAATCACTGCCATGACCCGGGCCAGACGCCACCGTCTCGAACGGGCGTTTGCCTTGCACACAGCTGACTGGGCCTACCTGAGTTCAATTCCTCTGCCTTTGATTCCTGTGCCCCTCTCGGAGAGCCCGGCAAGCTACCGAGAGTATCTCGCTCACATGGCAAAGCCTGGCAAGCTCCCCGTGACGTATTCGATATGCCAAACACAGTAACAATCAAGATATAATCTGAAAATTCGGGTGTGTGGGTTTTGTGATGAAATCTCCAGGCTTTCTGGGGTCAGGATGGCCTACTTCCCCCCACTTCCCTTTACTCCTAGAAGCATTGGCAAGCACCCCCACAAACCAACTCCAGCGTCACCATGTAAACTCTTCTACCGGTCTTGCTCCAGAGACCCATATCTTGAAAGATATCAAAAGCCACAGATAGTATGGGACCTGCGCAAGGCTGAACAGACCCGAGTAAATCAGAGAGGGGCGGGTTAGCCTAATGCCCACCCAAGCAAAGCCCCTGGCAGCCACTTGCTTCCACAATCCAAAAGCACAGCCATGCCCCTTGGCAGGACTCCACCAACTCAGGATGGGCCTTACCGAATTATTTGCTCGAGCGGGCCCAGTAACGTCTCCATTGGAGACTTTGTTGTTACTGTGTCTGGCTCTGCTAAAAATTCTGGCAAGCGGGTTTTGTGAGTGAAATCTCCAGGCTTTCTCTGGGTTGGAAGGCTACCTCCCCCAACCTCTCTGTACTTCCGGACACCTCAACAGCCATGTCCACACCCCAAAGCTGCCACCCAGGTAAAAACCTACGCCAGCCTCTACTTTCCCGATAAAAACACTGAATGCCCTGAACAAATACGTGACTTCTTAGTATTTGTATTGCAAACTATAATGCACAAAAGGAAAAGGAGAGGGAGAGAAAGAAGAAAAGCACCCCCCATAGAAGTAGGATGGGGGTAGAGGGTGGGGTGTTGGATGATGGGGGGAGGGAAACAGGGGACACTGGTAGTGGGAAGTATACACTGGTGGAGGGATGGGTGTTGGACCATTGTACGACTGAAACCCAATCATGAACAGTTTTGTAATGGTATGTCCCACAAATATTCAATAAAAATTTTTTAAAAAATTAAAGTAATGTGGAGTTAATGCCTGCTTCAGTCAGCTTAATCAGTGGCCAAAATAAATAGTAGTACTCATACATTAAAAAAAAAGGAAAGAAATAAGCTAGAAACCAAAATGGAAACGATAACCAGAAAAAAATACCCCAGATGGCTATACGTCTAAATAATCCATGGGTCAAAAGAAGAAATTACAATGAAAATCATATAAATTACAGAAATATATAACATCTGTCTGGTATACAAAGCATCACTCAGAAATAACCTTAAAATGTACTACAAAAGAAGACTAAGAATCAAATGTTATTCACATCAATAAAATAGTAAATTAAATAAGTAATAGTACATAGTGACTTAAACTCAAAGAAAGTAGGATTGAAAAATAAAAGTAAGGGTACTGGAGCAATAGCACGGTGGATAGGGCTTTTGCCTTGCATGCGGCCGACCCGGGTTCGACACCCAACATCCCATATGGTCCCCTGAGCACTGCCAGGAGTAACTCCTGAGTGTAGAGCCAGGAGTAACCTCTGTGCATTGCCGGGTGTAACTCAAAAAGCAAAAATAAATAAATAAATAAAGATTTTAAAAAGTAAGAACAGTAAAAAAAAAAGAAACAGCTCAATTCAAAATTAGATACACAGAAGACAGAATAGAAGAGCTAAATCTCTTACGAGACCAGCCAAACACTGGACCACTTATCCCCAGCGCCAGGAATGGAAGCAGAGGCACCTCGCAGAGCGCAGACTCCCAGATAGAGGACACCTGCAAACACGAACTTAGCCCACTCAGTGTAAAACACAGACGGTTTCAAAATACAAACTGCACAAAGACATAGAAATTACAAATTAAAACTAATACCTTAATCCATCATTAAAAAACCTATCAAAGATTTAAAACTCAATGTTTAGGTTTCTTCAATGAAAAACCAAAACTGCTCCTGAGAGCCTTGTGTGAGCTACTATATCTGTCCCGGGACCCCAGACCAAACGTCTGATTCCCCACAGCCCCAGAACCCAGCCAGGTTCCTATGGACTCGGAACCATCTGCTAAACCCTTGCTACCCAGAACCAGAGCCCAGGGAGAAGCTCCCTGCAGTTCCCTCCCTGCAAGAAGCATCTAGATGGTTCTTCCCTGCCTCATGGGTTTGCAGAGAGCCCAAGGCTGAGGTGAAGCCCCCAATGGAAGCCACTAGAAGTTTCCAGAGGGTTCTCAGGGAGCCCAGGTCTCTGACAGGCATGCTCACCTGATGGGCGTCGGCTGGCTCCCCTGCCGTTTGAAGGCTCTCTCCAGCCTCTCCTGGGTCGCCCTGGCGTTCCCACCTGGCAAGTAGAGCTTCAGAGGCATCCTGTCAGCTCCCAGGCCACTGTCCACAGCCGCCTCTCTCTGCTGGCCCCTGCCCCTGGGGGGCAGCCCTTTGCTGGACAGGGGAGGAGGGCTGCTGGGTCTCGGCCTGTCGGAGGGCAGTGAGCTCTGGGCCACGAAGCCGTTGTTCAGTGCCAGACCTTCCTCAGGGCTGGGGCCGGCTGGGGTGCAGGTGGACAGTTCAGTCACTTTCCGGCTCTCCTCCTCCTGGGCGTGCGGCCCGGGCTGGCTCATGCTCTTCACGGTCGTCGTTGGGGACCGCTTCAGAGAGTGCTTCCGGCTGGGATCCTGGAGGCCGAGGGACAAAGCTGTGAAGCCCTGGTCAGCGCACCCTCTCCCTCCACCTCACCCCCCCACCCCCACCCCAGGTTCTTTCCCATTCTCCCTTGTCCTAGGGCCAGACACTCAAAGGCAACCGCTTCTGGAATCCCTCCACTGCATCCCCCTGCATTAGCCCTGAGAGCGTTTCCACCCTCCTCCTGCCCCCTCACTGACGGGCAGAGGGTTCTAGGAGAGAGCGAGGCTGGGACACCATCCCTATTCCTATCTAACTCCAAGTCACCAGCATCAGCAAGTCAAGAACCCTCTGTCCCTCACACCTGTCACCACGAGTACAGCCTGTCATTGATAACCTGTACTCTAGCTGTCACTTCTTTTTTTAAAAAAAATCTTATCTATTTTTCTTTTTGGGTCATACCCAGTGATGCTCAGGGATTGCTCCTGGCTCTCTCTGTGTTCAGGAATTACTCCTGGTAGTGCGTGGGGAACCATATGGGATGCTGGGGATCGAACCCGGGTTGGCTGCGTGCAAGGCAAATGCCCTCCTCGCTGTACTATCACTCCAGCCCCTAGTGGTTGCTTCTAAACCTCCTGAAAAATAAGTTTCTTGTGGAATCCTGTGGTCAAGTCCTTTTTTAGTTATGAGGTGACTCGGAGTTTTTTTTTTTTAATAAATATCAAGGTTCACGCGTTTTGCTGAGGAAAATCAGCAAACTTTTGCCGATGAGGTGCTACCACCTAGCCCACCACAGAGGGTATATAGTATGTGTAGGCACTTCCTTTCTAGGAAAAAATTTTTTTTTTAATTTAAATTCCAAAAACATCTGGTCCGAGGATTTGGGATGAGGGATTAGAGGGGTGTCATGCCGACCTCCCACAAGTTCATGGGGAGGATGGAAGGAGGGACATGGTGAGTCTGGGGACCAGCCCTGCCAGAGTTGCCTGAGCCCCTCACTTCCGTGTGGGCCCAACTGGCCCTGGTGTCAGGCCAGCAGTGGCGGAGACCCTTCATCTTGGCTGTCCACAGAGCTGCCGTTAGCCGTCCAGCCAAGAGGCCTGCTGATTTTCCAGTGAAGTCATAGCAAGGTGACTGGCGGAAACGGGCCCCCTCTTCACAGCAACGATGAGCTGGTGAATGGAGACTCCTGTTGTTACAACTTAGAAGGGGGGACATGGGGGCGGAGGGAATGGAAATAGGCCTGCGGGGCTTTTCCTAACCTTAAAATTCCAGCCCTCTCGTCATTTCCAGAAACAAAGCTCAAGCCAAACAGTGAAGCCAGCGGTGGAATAGGAAGAGCTAAGTCTGTACTGTTCCTGCTCATGGAAATTACTAGACACTCTAATTCTCCTCTCGAAGCATCCTCGCCACAGCATGAGGAAAACATTAGTCACCGTTCCCAAGGAAAACCAAACTGGTGGCCTGGCCCCTTACTCATCCCTCATAAATACAGGGCTGACCCAACAGTAAAATGTGATGGAATGCCTGGCAAACCTTCTCTCCAGAGCAACTCAAAGGCCCACAAATGCCCGACTGGGAAGTGTTTCTGGGGAAATTCCACACAACCCACCCTCTCGTGCCCTCGTCCAGAGTTGGGAGAGAGTCTTGGGGGAAAGCAGCTCCTCAAACAGCCCCAGTCAGAAGTCAGTCAGATCCCGGCAGCCCACCCAGATGGCAGCTGTGAAGGGCGTCACCCCTGTGCTCTGTACAACTGGAAAGTGGTGACCGGAAGGGGCCTTGGCATCCACCTGCTTGACCTGCCATCAGAGGGCGAACACCCAAGCGCTCAGGGCCCTGAGCTCATGCAGGGAGCTCAAGGCTGTATCGTCAGCACTGGGAATACAGCCTCATCTGCCTGTCGTGGTACAGGGCGGGGGACTGGGGGTGGAGGCATCTCTACACAGCAAGGCTGAGCTGCCAGAACTTCCGGGGACTTGAGGACATTGCGAGCCGCCACACAGCCCCTCTACAAAAGCTAACTGAAGTGCTCGTTCCACATAAGCAACACCTAAGAATGACCCATTTCATTGACTCTCAACTCTAGGAGACACCTCCTCTGTGTGACCACACGGGCTGGTCCTATCAGCCCCCTACTGGACGTCTTGAGGAAATGCACCCGTGTGGCTCTGGGGAGTTGGGACTGACACTTTCCACGCAGGAAAGGAAGCAGGACAGAGGGACGAGGGCGATTCAGAAGCAAAAACGTGGCAGTTGGTTTTGGGAAAACACCTGGGGCCTATCACTCCAGGGGAAACAACTCTTGTTTGTTGAACACGACATTCTCTACATCTGGATGGGTCCCCCCTCCTGAGTGGCAATGATTAAGGCTAGGTAGATGTAGTCTCACTAGCCAAACGAACGTGAAACTACAGCCTCCAGGACACTGGAGAGATGGGTAAACTGAGGCCTGGAAGGAGAGGAGGCCCGCCCAAGCCCCACAGGGAGCTGATGAGAACAGAGGGACACAGAGGGGAAGAGCTTCCTGTCCCGCCACACAAAGGTCCCCTCTGGGGCTGTCTCCTGGGGTGCCCCCAAATAAACTCTAGTAACCCCACCTCCCCCATCCACCCTCCTCAGTTCTTACTTCTCTCCCTCACAATCACAGTAAAAGCAGCATCCCCACCTGTGGGCAGTTGGCGGTGGGCCTGGACATCATGCCTCGCACAATCAGGCCAGTCCTGGGCCTGATCTTCTCTGCCATCTTCTTGGTGTCCAAGGAAGGCTCGGATGGTGGGAGCTTGTCCGTCTTCTCCCACACCGGGGCCAAGGGGCTGGTCTCACCAGGGACAATCTGGACGGGCTTATTTTTGTGGGGGGGCCTTTTGGATGATACAAAATTACCAAGTACATCCCCATCATGATTGTCGTGTCTTAAAAAAAAAAAAAAAGGACAATTTTAGTTAAACAGATTCTCCAAACAGAATTACTAAGCTCACAGTGTTCACAAATCCATCTTGTGCTTGGGTTTGGCTGCTTGAAGTTTTTCATTATACAGAAAACTTATACAGAAAATGAAAAAAATTTTAGAGCACGGGAAGTCTGACCTACAAAATAAGACCAGGAATGAAGAAACCAAATCGGCGCTGATGATCCGGAATGGGATCTCTCCATCCAAACAGCACGGCTGAGAAAAGGCCCCTGGACCCTCAACACAGTCACAAAAGATGGCAGCCGCCTTCCTGCATGGTGACAGGGTTGGCTGAGACAAGCCTGGTGCTCCTGGATTGCCGGGATTAAGCTAGGCATAGGCCCACAGTTCCTTTTCTTGTTTGCTTGACAGTGGATGAGGGAAAAAGTGAAAGTGTGTGTGAGTGTGTGTGTGTGTGCGCGCACGCGTATGAGAGTGTGTGTGTGTGTGTGTGTGTGTGTGTGTGTGTGCACATGCACAGAGGATGGAAGCGTGGAAAGAGAAAATAGGAATGAGAATGAGACAGAACACAATCCCAGGGAACCAGGGAAAGAGGGGCTCTTACCCAGCACCCTCAGAGCCCAGGAGCGCTCTGACATGGCAGATTCTTTTTTTTTTTTTTTTTTTTTTTTGCTTTTTCGATCACACCCAGCAATGCTCAGGGGTTACTCCTGGCTCATGCACTCAGGAATTACTCCTGGTGGTGCTAGGGGGACCATATGGGATGCTGGGAATCAAACCCAGGTCAGCCGCGTGTAAGGCAAATACCCTACCTGCTGTGCTATCACTCCAGCCCTGACAGATACTTCTTACCACTGGCCTCTGGCATAATGGAGACTACTCTGTGCCAAGCAGTGGGTCCCTCATGAGAAAGGGGCCCTGGTGGGCCATCACTAGGACAAGGCAAACAGAGGATGGGTCTGAAACCAGCCTGGGGCAATCTAGAAGTTTCCAGTGACAATCAGGGCACCTGAGTCTGAGAGAATGTTCAGGCTACTCTAGGCAGGGCACAGAGATCGTCAAAGCAGGACTGGCTCAGGGAGCATGGGAGGGCCGTGCACATTGTTCTAAGAAGGTCCAGCTTTGGGGCTGGAGAGATAGCACAGCAGGTAGGGCATATGCCTTACATGCGGTCGACCCAGGTTCGATTCTCAGCATCCCATATAGTCTCCTGAGCACCGCCAGGAGTAACTCCTGAGTGCAGAGCTAGGAGTAACCCCTGTGCATCGCCAGGTATGACCCCCCCCAAAAAAAAGGTCCAGCTTTATCCTGAATGTCCCAGGGAGTCTGTGGAGGTCTTACAGTACAGAGCAACACAGCCAGACTTGTTCTACAGAAAACTCACACATCTTGAGTCAAGGATGGAAGATTTGAGGAGAAACTTGCTAGGGGTGCTCAAAGCCGGAAAGAGATGGTAGGAATGTGCCAGGGAAAGAAGGTACAATCAGGGGGCTGCAGCAATAGTGCAACAAGTAGGAGATTTGCCTTGCACCTGGAGAACTTGAATTCAGTCTCTGAAGAGCCAGGAGTAAGTCCTGAGCATCACCAGGTGTGGCTCCCCAAAAAAACAAAACAAAACAAAAAAGAAGGTATGACCTGAGGCACATTAATTTTTGTTGAATGGTTCCCATCTTTTGGTAGCTTAATACCCAATCCTTGTCATTTCTTGTAGCTGTCTTCCAAATAAAAAAAACCTCAACCAAGAAACACAGTTTTCTTCCTGCATTCCCAAAGGTCTTATTTTACAAGCTTTCTCTGCTATAGTGTTTCCCCGCTTTTTAGGGTTCTATACTCATTTTGGTTTTTGGATTTTTTTGGAAGGAAGAGACATCAGCCAAGAGATTGGTGGCTAATCAGACCATCAGACTCATGCAAGGGTGAGAGGATAAGATACCGCTAGGACTCTGCAGTGCCTGCAGGAATGCACCCAGAGACGTTCAGGGGACCATGTGGTGCCGAAAACCAACCCCTGACTGGGCAATTGTTAGGCATCCTCCCTAAATACTGTACTCTCGCCTAGGATTGCTGCTTTTAAATATATATAATTGATTTTTGGCTTTGGTTTGGGGCTATACCAGAAGGTGCTCAGGGCTTATTCCAGGCTCTGTGCTCAGGGATCACTCCTGGAGGTGCTCAGGGTCCATATACAGCATCTAGGATCAGCTGCAAGCAAGGCAAGTGCCTTAAGTCCCATGCACTCACCAGCTTCTTTATTTTTTAAATACAAACAAAGAAAGCCTGAAACTTAGTGACCACATGTTTGAAACAGACATTCTAAATCCTACCTATCTTCTGCCATACCTGTTCTCTTTTCCAGGTCTATAGCAGAAAATTAGTACGGGAGCAATAGTACATGAGGGAGGGTGCTTGCCTTACACATGGCTGACCTGACTTCCATCCTGGGTACCCCATATGGTCCCCTGAGCCTGGCAGGAGTGATCCCTGAGTGCAGAGCCAGAAGTAAGACCTGAGCATTGCAGGGTGTGATGAGAGAGAGAGAAGAAAGGAAGGAAGGAAGGAAGGAAGGAAGGAAGGAAGGAAGGAAGGAAGGAAGGAAGGAAAGAAAGAAGGAAAGAAAGAAGAGAGGAGATATACAGACAGGGTAAGGAAGGAAGGGAGGAGTAGGGGAGGGGTAAGGAGGGAGGGAGAGAGAAAGAGAAAGAGGGATGAAGGAAGGAAGAAAGGAAAGGAGGAAGGGAGGGGAAAAGGGAGGGAGGGAGGGAGGAAGGGAGGGAGGGAGGGAGGGAGGGAGGCAGGCAGGCAGGCAGGCAGGCAGGCAGGCAGGCAGGCAACAGTCCATGACAGGGATCTTGAACAAAGTTGGCAGCTGAATCACAATCCTTCCAAAGGCATCCTCACCCTGAGCCCTGGAAAGTAGGGGTGCAGTGCTTCACATGGATAAAGGAACTCTGCAGATATTATTAAATAAGGAACCTTGAGAGATGATCCTGGACAATTGGAGTGGGGTCCAGTGGAATCACTGGGTCCTCATTAGAGAAAAACAGGAGCACCATCATCAGCTGGAGACGTTAGACACAGCAGATGTGGTTGTCACAGTGTAGAAGCTGGAAGAGGTGGCTAAGATACAAGGGCTAGAAAGAAAATAGATTCCCTCATTAAAGTCACTAGAAGAAAGAAAGCAGCATCCAGAGAGACAGTTCTGAACTTCCAACCTGCAGAACAGGAAGATAACAATTTATGTTGCCTTAAGACACCAGGATGGCTATTTTTTTTTCCTTTTTGGGACCTGGAGATACACAGAGATTACTCCTGGCTCATGCACTCAGGAATTACTCCTGGTGGTGTTCAGGGGACCACATGAGATGCTGGAAATCGAACTCGGGTCAGCCACATGCAAGGCAAACGCTCTACCTGCTGGGCTATTGTTCCAACCCCAGGATGGCTAATTTTTATAAACTAATTTGGCTAGACTGTGGTGTCCATCCTTTGGCCATTTGGTCTGACTAGCTAGTTTGGTTTGATCCCTGTTACCACGTTTGGCCCCCAGGCACTACCAGGAGTGATTTCTGAGCAAAGAGGCCAGATATAAGCCCTGAAAGAATAAAAAATTATAGCACAGCGGGTAAGGCGTTTTCCTTGCGCACGGTTGACCTGGCCAAGCCAGCCAACCCAAGTTCGATTTCCTCTGCCCCTCTCGGAGAGCCTGGCAAGCTACCAATAGTATTTCGCCCACATGGCAATGCCTGGCAAGCTACCCGTGATGTATGATGTATTCAATATGCCAAACACAGTAACAAGTGTCACAATGGAGACGTTACTGGGCCCGCTCAAGCAAATCGATGAACAATGGGAGGACAGTGACAGTGACAGTGACAACTAGTGCCTTGAGGATTTTAGGATGCACTTAACATCTACGACCAGTTGATGACACCCATATCCTTGATAATATGGTTGAATTTCACTCAACCAGTTGATGCCTCAAAGCACACTAACATGGGGCCAGAGCGATAGTACAGTGGGCAGGGCACTTGCCCTGCACTCAGCCAACCTGGGTTCCATCTCTGGCACCTCATATGATGCCCCGACCCCTGTGCTGGCAGGAGTGACCCCCAAGCACAGATCCAGGAGTAAGCCCTGAGCACCACCAGATGTGCAGGTCCCCCCCCAACCACCACCATCAAAAAAATATCAATCTCAGATTTCCCAGAACAGAACTAATTCTGCTGATTGTTGTACAGAAACACAGAAACCCTCCTCGCGTGTAGTGTGCCTTACAGATTTCAAAACTGCTACCTCCAAAATCTTACACGTGTATTCAGATAATATACATTTATGCAAACACACACATAACACACATACTATTGTCTCTGTGTCACTGGACTAGTACAGTCACTATGTCCAGAGCCCCTTGCCACAACAGCAGAAGAAAGGGCAGAGATACCTGACTTTGCTGGTTTCTGACAACGAGCTTCTCCAGCTGGCATCTTCATCTGCTAAGTCATAGATATTTACAAGTGTGGTCTCTGAGCATCTCAGTGGCAATTTGGTACTTTTCTTTGGCATCGAGAGCGCAGGGATTGGTGTTTCTTGAGTGAAGTTGTTGGTAGTATTTCCACAGTGATCCAAAAAGTATCTGGTAATGAGTTCAAGGTTTGTTTTTAGAGGGTTTTCCTTTGCCTGTCAATAGGAGAGAGGGGGAAAAATTATTAACTACATACACAACTTCAAGGGCAGGATGGGGAAAATGACCATTCTAGTTTGTTGATGTAAGTTTATCAACATCTCACTCATTCATGCACCCTCTCCTTTGGTTTCTGGGCCACACTTGGCGGTGCTCAGGACTAGCTCTTCACTCTGCACTCAGGAATCACTCTTCGTGGTGCTTGGGGAACCATATGAGCTGCTGGGGTCAAACCTGAGTCAGGTGCATACAAGGCAAGCATCCAACACCATGTACTGTCTTACCAGCCCCTCATCCCTGTTCCTTTCCAGGAAATGCTCACTGTCTTTGATGGATCGGGTACCTGAGCTAGGAAGCAGCCCAGAGAAGAGGAAGACAAAACCTCTACCTTGAAAGCACATGCAGCTCTCTGGAAAGAAAGATGGCAGCCGCACGGGAGCCTTGTGGACAGCAGGTTTGAGCCGGGGGTGGGGGCGGCAGGGACCTCATGGGAAGGGGGGCGTAATGGGCCGTCCTTCACGTCCGACCGAGGTCACCAGCTGCCCCCCACGAGCGGCTCTCCGGCACGACCACGGCCCCGGAGGCACAAGGACTTAGCACAGAGGGCCACCCGCTTGGAGCAGAAAAGCAAATGGACTATGTGTTAAACCACGCCAGCATGCCTGCCCGGAGGGGAAAGGGTGTTGCCCCATTCGCCCAATCCTCTCTGGAAAGATGGTGGCCGCACGGGAGCCTTGTGGACAGCAGGTTTGAGCCGGGGGTGGGGGCGGCAGGGACCTCATGGGAAGGGGGGCGTAATGGGCCGTCCTTCATGCCCGACCGAGGTCACCAGCTGCCCCCCACGAGCGGCTCTCCAGCACGGCCACAACTCCAGAGCACAGAAACCAATCTCTTAACTATCTAACTTTTAATAGAAATACTTCCAGGGTTAATAAGTAAAATAGCAGAAATCCAAAACCGCGTGGTCGCAATCATTTTATTCTTAAACCCAGCTGTAGAAAGCAAATCATTTCACAACGCTGTTTCAGCATGTCTGATGGGGGGGGTCGTAAACTCTAAACAATAATTGTGCATCTTCTATTGAAACAATGTATCTAGTCAAAGTAGATAGAGTATTAACTAGAACTCATCTGCCTCACAGGAATTGGGAGGGGTGGGAGCTGGGGTTCTATTGGGGTTTGTGGTTAAAAATAAGTATTGGTAAAGGGAAATGTGTTTGATATTTACATGACTGAGACCTAAACCCGAAAGCTCTGTAACTTTTCCCACAGTGATTCAATAAAGAAATAAATTATTAAAAAAAAAGAAGAAGAAAGCACACGCATCTGATTCACGTGCCAGGAAACTCCATAGGATGTGACAGCTATAATATGCTGTGAGATGACTAGAAAACCCATGAAAGTTTCTTCCTGTTTTTGTTCTATGAGGAATAACACTATATGTCTATTTCATTTCTTAAAAAGCTAAGCCTTCAGGGATTGTTAATTCTACAAGCTGACAGACATTTAGAACCCGAATATTGTCTTAGATTGTATGCTCCACATTTATCTTCAGACACCAGGGATCAAATGAACAACACTGCAGTGCGTTATTGCATGAGGTACAGAAAGGGAGTAAAAATTCACTCAGTCTACCCCAATCTTAAAATAAAAACAACAAAAAGCCTAAAAAGGCAATGAAAATAAATAACATTTCCCTTTTCTGCTATATCAAAAATTACCTTGGAAGTTTTTTTTTTTACTGCATATTCCCAGGCCCATTGAGTCTTATTTAACCATAATTGCAAAATTAGAGCCTTAATTTCTTTCTAAATACTCCCCTCAATAATTGTACGGGGCAGATAGATTTATCTGACATAACCTGCAGACTGGCCTAAGGGACAAGACCACAAAACTACCCAGATGCACCCTCTGTCCCCAGCATCCCCCTGCCAGAATCCTGCAGACACGGGGCACCAGAAGTTTTGCAATTAGTGACAAAGAATGACACAAAGAGAGAGACACAGTGGGGACTCCTGGTACCTCCAATCCCTCACCTGCAATTTCCCTGATCTATGAAGCAGAACTCTGGGACCAAGACCCACAACCAAAGGAGTTAGGAACAAATTCCACAGATTTAGCAGCCAGTAAATTCACGGGATGGCTTTATGGCTCTGATTTTTTAGTATGAACTATTCCCCCCCAAAAAGAAAAAAATACAACCATTTTTGTCTAAGTCTTAAATGAAACAAAAGAGAAAGAGAATATCAAGAAAGATAAATTTCCTTCTGGCTTCTTGATTTTTCCTTTGAGAGGGGTGGAGCCCGGAGTTACCTGCCTACCTATGTCCACCTGTGTCTTTTGAGGTCACTTTGCTCATTAACAGACTAGATTGTTGTCACTATGATGTCACTATAGTGTATTCTTTTTTAAAAACGTCAACTTATACAGGCATTTTATCCCTCATATACTTAATAGGGAAAGCAAGTTACTGGAATTAGCATTCAATTGCAAGGCTTTCCTGGAATCATGTGAGCCTCATGCTGAGTGAATGCTAAATCACCATGCAGCCATTAGATTATCAAGTATATTTCTCTGTAAAACATATGCTCCAATTCATTTCAGAATGGCTGACAACTATTATATAAATCAAGTAATCAAGGAACTTTTTAAGATCGAAGAAAAATACTTTAAGTATTTAAAGATAACAGATAGTTAGGAAAGAACAATCACTATGGTAAATAAATAAATAAATAAATAAGGAGCCTGAGTGACAGTACAGTGGGTAGAGTGTTTGCCGTGAGTGTGGCCAACTCACGTTTGATCCTGGCACCCCATATAGTCCCCTGAGCCTGCCAGAAGTGATCCCTGAGCACAGAGCCAGGACTAAGCCCTGAGTACAGCCATGTGTACCTCCACACACACACACACACCAAAATAAAAATTAAAAAAAAAAAAGAAAAGAATAATAAAGCCATTAGGAATTATTGGCATTTGCTTCTGGAAAATTAAGTCAAGATGCATTTACATAAAAATCTCACCACACCAGAATGGTAACCTAAACTCCAGGGGTGTGGTTACCATGCTGGGGGCCACGTGGCTGGGATCCAGGAACAGACCTGGGGCTCCTGCATGCCCTCAGCCCACTGGACTCTTTCGGGCTGAGATTTTTGCTGAGTTTTCTCATTAGTTGTCTCACTCTCTACAGAAAATCCTTCTTCAGTGTCATCCTCTCTCCTGCCTTAGCATGCAGCACGTGGAAGACCCTTGCGTACAGGCCGCAGGGCCACGGGTCTGTCTCTGCAGGATGGCAGCCGAGCAAGCTGCAGAAGCCTCCGGGGTCTGAGACAGGGCCAGAGGACAGAGTGAATCTCTCTGAGGTCTTCCCGCAGCCTCCACGAGGACTTCCCCGCTGTCGGGAGCCTTTTCTCTTCACAGGGAAAGCACAGGCATTCTGGCAGCTCTGTGTCCTGAAGACCACTCTTAGCTGCCCGAGGTACAAGCTTACTCTCTCATCTGTTACTGAAATCACTGGGCCTACTGCTGGGCTATGACGGGCTTGAGGGGAGTTGTCACACTGTTCCTGAGGTAGCCTGACTCTAATAAGTCCTTAGAAGGCTGGGAGCATCCTACCTCCATAAACCAATCATCTGAGAAAAGAATCACACTTCACACAAGACTGGCCAGGGGGTCAGAGAGAGCACGGGGGTCCGGCAGGTGCCTTGCACACAGCTCACTCAGTCCCCATGCCTGGCACCACATATTCTCCCCCCAACATGTCAGGAGAGATCCCTGAGCCTAGAGCCAGATGAAAGACCTGAGCACCACCAGGTGTGGCCCAAAATCCAAAGGAAAAAAACAAAAACAAAAACAAAACATCAGCCTGACCACTTGATCCTGCCACTGGCCCACAATCAGGAGCCCTGGTCCACCCCTCTGGAGCTGATGGAGACAGAGGAGCAGAGGGATGTGCGGGCATCTGGAGCTATGGGCTGCACCCCCGCAGTGGTTTAAAAGTTGCTGGGCATCCTAAGGGCTTCATCCCAGAAGTCCAAAAAGTCAGGGCCCCTCATCTCTACTTCACACGGTGTACCCTCACTTTGGCATATGAGTCTTGGGCAGGAGACAGACGCTTTTTTTCACGGAGGTTTGTGACAGTGACAAACAGGTATGCTGCGATGGCGGGCCCCCTTTGGGCCGATGCAGTACCCTCCCTGGTGGCGGCCTCTGTGGGGACTCCCCTCGGGGAGGAAAGGAGGAGACTTGGTCTCCCTACCAGAGCCGCATCTTCACTCCCGGAGCCCCTGGTGCACCCCCAAACCCACACTGCCCCATGCAGGCTCTAGGGCTGGCCGAGCCTCGCCCTCCTTGGAGGTGCAAGATTGATGGGGTGGGTGGGGGGGTGCGGCCTACGGTAGATGGGAACAAACTAGATACACAGAGGCTCTGTGATGCGCCTGGCCGGCACCCCAAAAGGCGGCTGGAAGCTGCAGGCGCGGGCACTGCAGACCGCATTACTCAGAACTGAAGGAGGAAAGTCTGACGCGGGCGGGGGGGAATGGAAAATTCAAGTATAACCCAATACTATATTCTTAAGTACAGGCTGCCTAAAAATAGCCCCTCCTGGGGCAGGGGAGGGGGAGCCCAGGGATTAACTGTTAACAGACGCGGGCCCGGGAGCATTGGTGGCGCAGGCGCGCTGCGCCCGTGGGGTGCCAGGCCCCCCTCGAGGTCAGGAAGCCGACTCACTCCCGGGACTTGCGGGCACTCGCGGGGTCCGCTCCCCGCTGACCGCAGGCCTGGCCAGCCGCCCGGCCCGCCGCCGTCTCTGCCCGCCTGGCCCAGGCCTCCGAGGGCTCTGACGTCGCCAGGTTCTGTTCTAGAAGGCCACGCCCAGCCCTGCCAGGCCCCCACCTTGTTCTCTTTGTAGAGGAACTCAAGATGCAAAACCTTGCGGAGGTCGTTTCTGCTGTTGATGCTGAGGTCGGAGCGTGGGCGCTCCTGGTCCATGGTCCAGCACGTCTTCTTTAAACCCTGGAGGGAGAAATCGGAATCGTTATTTACTAGTGAAGATCAAAACCTTCTGTCCTCCGGACAAACACAAGATTTATCCTGCCTCCCTCACGAGGATATTGCAAACCAAAAAAGGGGAAGGGGGGTGGTGGTGAGGGGGGCGACTGAATTGAGCACTTATTTTTGTATGACCTTTACACTTGACATCATCTTCACCATTATTATTCTGAATCATGCAGTGACCCAAGAGCTGAGCGAGGCCGCAACTGCCGGTATGTGTAATAGATACAGAATGTGGAATTCAGGTAACTGATTGACCCCCAGCTATTTCAGAAGAGCCCTGCGTATGGCCCTAGATTTGAAGCCATGGAATATGAAACTTTAAAAATAAACAAAAGGAAAAGCATTAACTCGAGGCCAAAACTCGCTTCCCTCTTTCCTCAGATGTGGAGCCAGACTAGATTTGCCCAAGGTCACAGCAGAGTCATATGGAAGTAGATCTAACTGCCCCAGACTTGGGGGGGTCAGGAGGCCGGGGCCCAGGCCCCCCGGGACGCACCAGGCAAATGTCCACCGAGTCCCAGCAAAGCTGCTTTCTCTCATCCAGCCCCGAACTCCCTGAGGGCCCAGGTCACACAGTCCCAGGGAATGAGGCGGCCTGTCCCCCAGAGGGCCTGGCTTCTCCCTCTGAAGAACAACTGCAGCAGCTGTGGCTGGCCCACCTCACTGGACCATGCCGACCACTGTATGGCCAGAGGATGAGAATAGGCCTCACAGACAGCTCTGCCTGGCGCCTAATGAATCCCAGACCCTCAAACGCTTCAAAATGGCTCGGGAAATAAGACAAAACCTACAGCCAGCCATGAGTTTAGAAAAGAAGAATTTATGAAAGCAAGAGGTGTGGGCACAACCTTGAACCAAAGAACATAAGAGGAAGGTCTGAGGGAAGAACAACAGAAAGAAATGAATGTAGGGGGCTGAAGCAATAGCACCACGGGTAGGGCATTTGCCTTGCATGCGGCCAACCCAGGTTCGATCCCCAGCATCCCATATGGTTCCCTGAGCACTGCCAGGGGTAATTCCTGAGTGCAGACCCAGGAGTAACCCCTGTGCATCACCGGGTGTGACCCAAAAGGCAAAAAAAAAAAAAGAAGAAGAAGAAGAAAAGAAACGGATGTGAATGGTGGGGAAAGAAAGGCATGAGAGGGTCCACTGGAGGCACGGGTTGCTAAGGGCAAGCACCTGCATTTGATCTGAGCTTAAACAGGTCTTTCAAAATCAGCCACAGTGATGCAGAAACTGCTGTAAGGAAGGACACTGTGCCAGATAATAGCTTAAGTTTGTCGCAGTTCAAATCAGCAAGTCTTGGGGCTGGAGTGATAGCACTGCAGGTAGGGCGTTTGCCTTGCACACGGCCAACCCGGGTTTGAGCCCCAGCATCCCATATGGTCCCCCGAGCACTGCCAGGAGTAATTCCTGAGTGCAAAGCCAGGAGTAACTCCTGTGTATCGATAAGTGTGACCCAAAAAGCAAAAAAAAAAAAAAAAAAAAAAGGAAGAAAGAAACCAGATCAGCAAGTCTTGTGGGGTTATGTTTGTTTCTTTTAGGGGGTGTTGGGCCAACACCTGGTGGGACTCAAGGCAAACTCCAGGTCTGTGCTCAGAAATCACTCCTGCTGGTGCCCAGGAACCATTTGTGGTGCCAGGGATTGAACCAGTGTCAGCCATGTCTAGTCCCGCACCTTGTACATCTAACCAGATCCCCAGGACTGTGCTCCACTCTGGCACTTGAACATCACCGGGGTAGCAGAAGACAGTTGGGAATGTCCAAGCCAATCCTTGGCCCTATCTGGCCCATTTAGTCTCATTCAATCGACATTTATTGTGTACCAACAATGTGCCAAACTGTTCTAGATGCAGGAGCTACAGAGGAAAGTGGTGATATGGGTAGTACAGGAAATAAAGCCAGGAATGACTTCCAAGGATTTGGGGGAGATGTAGAGTGCTGCAAGCACTGTCCAGGGGGCCCTGAGACTATACCAGTGAAGCTCTGTCAACTAGGTCAACCCAAACAAAATGGCACTGCGAAGGCTCAGCACTGCTAGGGGCCACTTGGGCAATCCTGGAGGGGTTCAGGGATTCCAGGGTTTTTTTGCCCATTAAGAAGAACCGTGCTGCTACTTGATGGGGTGAGGGAAATTATAAAGGAAGAGGAAGTCGGGAATTGAGTTGGGGCTGTATTACGTTGAGGCGTTTACTCATGGAAATAAAGAATGGGTCGGTAAGTCTTAGCTCAAGACAGACAATTGGTGGTACTGAAATCCACAAGACTGGTTGAAAGCACCAGGAAGATGAAAGGGGCAAGGAGCAATGAAAAGGGCCAAAGGGGGGTTAAGCTCCCCCGCACGCACAGCTCACAGAAAGGAGAGGAAGCAGCAAAGAATTGCGAAAGAATGATAGAAAGGTAGAGGAGGAAAACCAGAAGAAGCTATTTTCCAGAAGCCAAGCAGAGGAAGTTTTCAGGAGGAAGGACAATAAACAGGGATAAAGCCAATTCTTTATTAGATCAAGAAGTATAAGGGCTGAAAATCAGAGGCCTTGACTAGAATCACTTCCATGGATTAGGGAGGTCAGAAGCCAACGTATAGTGGATTTGAGAAAACAGGAATGTGCATTAGAATCAGAGCATACACGAATTTTTCATGGGGTTCTGCTATAGAAAGAAGAAAACAGACGGATAGCCAGAGGGGCTTAGGGAAAGAGGGTCGAGGGAAAGTTTGAAGGCACATGCACACGTGTTGATGAGAAGGAGAGGAGGCAGGATGTATGTGCAATAAAGGGAAATGAGATTCCTGGAGCGCGTAGGCCATGTGACACATCATAAAACACTCCCTACCCATTCTCCATGATTACCACACCATATTTGATGGGGTTCAGATAGTAGGCAACAAATCATAAGGGAAATATATGTAGTATATATACACACTTTCAGATATATATACCAAAGCTCACATCACCCAAACTTTAACAACATGTTAGTGATATCCCATAGAATGTCTTAATGGCTCCTGCCAAAACAGAAGAATCTTCACACTGTTTCCTATATGAACACTTTTTTGTAAGCATGTTCAGCAGTTCTTCAAAACAGACAATACAAAATATATTCTTTTGGTTGTGTTTTGGGACAGGGATTGGGGTTGGGATGGAAACACCCCAAATTTGGTGGTAGGAAGGTGCAATGGTGGTGGGATTGGTGTCTGAATATTGAATGTACTCAAACATTGTGAACTAACTTATAAAATTTAAAAATTGAAAAAAAAAAGTAATGTGGAGTTCATGCCCAATTCAATCAGTTTAATCAAAGGCTGAATAAATAGCAGTGCTCCTACATTATATAAAATAAAAATTAAAAAAAAAGGAAAATGAGAGTCATGGCCACAGTGGCCCAAAGCATGGAAAGGCACCCACAGGAGCGTTGGCCTGACCCAGGAATGTGTTCAATCAAAGGAACAAAGAGAGGGAGGGTGAATGTTCAGTTCCAGGAAGAGTAGTGAGTGTACTCATGGGAGACAACGGGTATTTCCTCATGGATGTTACTAGTTTATCCATGAAATCAGGGAGGGAGTTGGTGTTTGAGAGAAGGTGAGAAATGGTCAACCAGGATTTGAGCGGGCGAATGGCCAGGTGGGGAGGCATCTCTGAGGCAGCCCAAGAGTATATGGCAGTGGATTTAGTGTGAAGCCACCCATTGTCTCATTTATCTTTGTTTGCAAGGCCTGGCATACACTGAGGAGAGTCCTGCAAAATGAGGGGAGTTCCCTGCCCCCTGAGTCCCAGGAGTCTTCCTGCCCAACTCAACCATCACTGCAGGTGCAAATCCAGCTTCATACCCTTTGCTTGCTACATTCTTCGGGTGAGGTGAACCTCCCAGTGCTGCCCCCAGGGCTTTTTCAGAAGTGGACGTAGATTCCCTTTCATTCCCCTCCACCGTCGTCATCCTAGCAGCCCCTCCCCTCTCCGCAGCTGCTCCAGTGCCACACAACTCTACTTATCACACACTACACCGCACACACACAACCTCCTTCAGTGAACCCACAGACTCGGGTAGTGTGGGTTGCTAACATATTCCTAGCTCTGTCCATCTGTCTCAGGAAAGCCTCCACAAGGGCAGTGGTGGTGGAAAGAAATCACAGAGCCCTACATCGTCAGGTGAGATGGAGCCAAGATGCATTAGAAGTAGTCTCATGATCCACACTGGGTCTCAAAGTTACAAACCGTGAACAGCAAAAAAATGCTGAAAGATTATAGGCATGGAAGGAAAGGAGCAACACTCAGCCTAATCCATCAGAGAGCTCTCTCAAGGTGGGGCTACAAAGACTCACTCTCAGCGCATGGCAGACACAGTGGGGAAGTCACACAGAAGCCCACCAAGTTCAGTGAGTGAAGCTGATATATCAGAAAGCTCTACTAATTCCAACCAACTCTACAAACTCTCAGTTCATGACATGAGTGACCATGATGAGCATGTTTAATGTGCTTTAATATGTAATATATGTATCTATATAATATATGTATAAAACAATGGTACAGGTAATCATTGAAGCACCAGCAATTAGGAAAGCAAAATGAGAAAACTATAATCAGAAGTAACAGAACTGGGCTGGATTGATGGTGCAGCAGGTAGGGTGCTTTTCTTGTATTTGGCCAACCTGAGTTGGGACCCAGCATCCCATATGGTTCTTCAAGCCACACTGAAAGTGATCCCTGAGTGCAGAACGAGAAATATATAAGGCCTGAGCATTACCAGGTATGCTCCCTTAAAAAAAATTTAAAAAAAAAAACACAGAAGTGACAGAACTGAAAAGTATGGTAGGTGAAATAAAAAATTCCATGGAGACCTTAGGAGAGGTCTTAATAGAAGAGGGGAAAAAATGGTGAGTTCAAGTTGAGATGCTGAAACAACAGAAAATGTAAGAGTCTGAAAATAAATGAATTTCACATCAGAAAACTATGGGATGAGTTCCATAGGAACAATATGAGAATCACCAACACCCTAGAAACAGAAAGAAAAATCTGGTGGGGAAGTACCAACCTAAGAAATTGCAGATAGAATTTCCCAGAGGTGAGGAGTGCAGGCACCCAGATTCCAAGACACATTGTGATCAGAATCGCAAAAGACAGAGACAGAATCCTGAAAGCAGCAAGACCAAAGAAGGAAATTACATACAAAGAAACTCCCTAAGATTCACAGCCGACCTATTAAATGACTATAAGGGCAGAAGAGATGGGTGGGATATAGTTTTAAAATGAACTTAATGAAATGAACAATTCACCAAGAATACTTTATTGAGCTAAACTGTCATTCAAATTTGAAGGAATGATACAAAGCTTCCAGGAAAAACAACATCATCTTTGGAACTTCATAACCTCAAAACCAGTTTTGCAAGAAGCATTAAAGGAACTCCTTGAAGGGACAAAATAATAACTTCACAAATACACAAATTCTACAAAATGATGGGAATTATTTTCTTCATCTAAAGAATCTCAATGGTGTCCAGAACAGATGAATGGATAAAGAAACTATGGCACCTCTACATAATGGAATACTACGCAGCTATTAGAAAATATGAAGTCATGAAATTTGCCTATAAATGGATGAACATGGAAAGTATCATGTTGAGTGAAATGAGTCAGAAGGAGAGGGACAGATACAGAATGACTGCATTCATTTGTGATATATAAAAAATATATATAGTAGAAGACTAATATCCAAGACCAGGGAAAACAGGGGCTAGGAGGACTGGTCAATGGTTGGAATCTACCATAAGTGTGTGTGTGTGTGTGTGTGTGTGTGTGTGTGTGTGTGTGTGTATGTTTGTGTTTGTGGCAGAGGGTAGGTAAGATAAAGAAGGGACAATGATAATTGGAACTGATCATGTTGGACAAGAACTGAGTTTTAAAAGTAAAGGGATATACATGATAGACAGAGAGAGAGAGAGAGAGAGAGAGAGAGAAACAGAGAGGAAAAGTGCCTGCCATAGAGGCAGGTTGGGGTGAGATGGGGGTGATGGGAGGGAAACTGGGCATACTGGTGCTGGGGAATGTACACTGGTGGAGAGATGGGTGTTGGAACACTGTATGACTAGAACCTAATCACAGACAGCCTCATAAGGGTCACAATCTCACACTGATTCAATTTAAAAAAATCTGAAATCACTAATCAACAGATACAGAGTAGCAGAATGGATCAAAAAATTGAAAAATTGAACCCAACTCTCTGCTGTCTACAAGAGACACATCTGAATACTCAGGGCAAACACAGGCTCAAAGTCAAAAAGCTGAAAGACAATTTTACAGGCAATCAGTTCTGTTAAAAAAAGGTCAGGGTGGACATACTTTGTCAGATAACAGACTTCAAATTTTAAAAAGTTTTCAGAAACATGAACGATCATTTCTTAGTGATCAAGGAATCCATACATAAGAACTCACACTCCTAAACACATATGCACCTAATGATGGTCCACCAAAATGTTTTGAAGCAGTTTTGAAAAACTGCTAATATGCACGAAGGAAGATATTGGCAAAGGAGCAGCAGGCTTCAACACTCACTGTCACTGCTAGAGGGATCAGCTAGGCAGAACCTCACAAAAAAACACTGGCCTCAGGGAAGAATGAGAGAGATGAAACAGGGGTCTGGAGCAACGGCACAGCGGAAAGGACGTTTGCCTTGCACACAGCCGCCGACCTAGGTTTGATTCCCAGTATCCCATATGGTCCCCCGAGCACCGCCAGGAGCAATTCCTAAGTGCAGAGCCAGGATTAACCCCTGAGCATCGCCATGTGTGACCCAAAAAGGAAAAAAAAAAGATGAAACAGACATACATAAGGCCCTTCAGCCTCCGGGACATTATTAAAAAAAATAGGACACCCCAGATCAGCTACGTTCAAGAAAAACGAATTACACACTGTACTATCTTTTCAGCCCCAATGCTTCGTTTTGGTTTGTTTGTTGGCTTTTTGGGTCACACCCAGCGACGATCAGTGCTTACTCCTGTCTTTGCATTTATAAATTACTCCTGGAGGTGCTTGAGGGACCATATGGGATGCTGGGGATTGAACCCTAGTGGGCTGCATACACAGCAAGTGCCTTACCCGCTGTACTATTGCTCTGGCCCCTAAGGATGCTTCATTTTTATGTATCAGAGTGCTGGAGAGATAACTCAAGAGAGAGCCCTAGAGGTGCTCATGGCTTACTCCTGGCTCTGTGCTTGGGAATCGCTCCTGCTTGAGCTCAGGGGACTACATACAGTGCTGGTAATGGAACCCAGGTTGGCCACATGCATGGCATGAAACTTACTCCCCGTAATCTCTGGCCCCCTAAACAAACAAGCAAAATACCCTCTACAAAAAAAAATAGGCCATATACTAGACCCCAAAACATAGCGCCATAAAATCAAGAAGACAAAAATCATATCAACTATCCTCTAAGACTATGATGTTTTGAAATTGGAAATTAATCACAATCAGAAATGGGAGGGAGGTATCACTTGGAAATTAAATGAAAATAAATAATTTTTAAAGCAAAAACAAAAATATTATGGTTATACCCAGGAAAGAAAGAAAAGGAAGGAAGGAAGGAAGGAAGGAAGGAAGGAAGGAAGGAAGGAAGGGAGGGAGGAAGAAAGGGCCAAAGGCAACAGAACTAGAGACCTGATCTACAGAACTGAGCTTCCCATAATGTGGGGAGAGTCCTTGGGACACTGGCGGAAGAAGAGGATACTCTGGCATCAGGACAATATGTGAGTGAAAGGATCATTACAAGAATGTAAATCATGGTACCTCAATGAAAAAGGGGTCACGGTCACAGTCCTCCCGTTCATCGATTTGCTGGAACGGGTCCAGTAACATCTCCATTTTGAGAGTTGTTGTTACTGTGTTTGGCATATTGAATACGTCACGGGTAACTTGCCAGGCTCTGCCGGGCAGGCGGGATACTCTCAGTAGCTTGCCGGGCTCTCCGAGAGAGGCAGAGGAATCGAACCCAGCTCGGCCAGGCCGGCTGCGTGCAAGGCAAATGCCCTACCGCTGTGCTATCACTCCAGCCCAAATGAAAATGGGGAAGCTTTTTAAATAATAAAAATGAGGGGCGTATTGTGGAGGGCAAGAAGAGCAAGAGGGCCAGGGGTGGTTATAATGGCGGGGGTGGGGGTAGCAGTGAGGGGAGGCCTCAGTAGGGCCGAGAACTGTGAGGAGGAGTCAGGAACAGAGGGTGCAGATGAGACCGAGGTAGGTGAATAGTGTATGCCGGGCTCATAAGGATGGGGACCAACTGGAAGTGGGATGCTTGGACCGGAGGACAGTAAGGGCTCCTCCTGGTGATGGCAAGAACACAGGAATGGTTGTCAGTGGGCAGTCACTGCAGAGGGAGCCACAGACCTCCCGCTTTCTACGTGATGACTTTAGAGAGCTGGGACTGCCACTGAGCCACCCAGCCAGCTGCCTTTCCTGCCTTCTGCTCCAGGGCGGGAAGCACACACTCTCCCAGGGCTGGGTGCCAAGCACGTACCCCACTGAGATAACCAAGGGCGCTTCCATCAAGGAGAGGGGCCTGTTCCCTCACAGGAATCCTGGAAGAGGGGCTGGAGTGATAGCACAGAGGGTAGGGCGTTTGCCTTGCACGCGATCAACCTGGGTTCGATTCCCAGCATCCCAGCATCCCATATGGTCCCCTGAACACCACCAGCAGTAATTCCTAAGTGCAAAGCCAGGAGTAATCCCTGTGCATCGCCAGGTGTGACCCAAAAAGCCAAAAAAAAGTCCTGGAAGAGAGGCGTACGTGGAGCCTCTCCTACCAACCATCACGAGACTGGGGGCAAGACTGGGGGCAGCCGGGCGAAATGCCCGCAGAGACTCCCACAGAAGGACTGGCCAAAAGTTTCCGGCTCAAATACTGGCTGACCATTTCACACCTCCTCTCTCCTCAAACCCCAGGTTCCCCCGCCCGTCAGATTCCACTGAGAACCTGGAAACAAATCAGGAGCAAACACCCCTCCTCTCTCCCTAGCATGCTCCCTGCCACAGGTGAGGGACCCCTCCCAAGCACACCATGTGGGTGAGCAGCGGGTACCCAAGCCCCTTCTCTGGCTCTCAAGCCCCTCCCCTTCACTTCTAGACCTCTGCCTGCTGTGTGTCGGGGGAAGAGGTTGCTGTTGTTTGGGGGACCGTGTGCGGTGCAGGAGGCCCGCACGTGCAAGGCAAGAGCACCCCACCACCCATTCCAGCCCCACTGTGCATGTTTCAGTCGGGGCCCAGAGGGCAGCAGGCGGAGGTGCAGCCAGGCCCTTTGAGCAGGCCACGGGTGCAGGACACCCCTCCTCCTCTAACCTGCATCGCGGGGGGTGGGAGGGGTGGGGGGGCGGACAACTTTCTGAGCAATGCGCAAACTCCCCTGGGATAAGTCAACTGCGGAACTTCAAAACAGAAACAAAGGCCAGGCCTGAGTTTCCCCGCCGTGGGGGAGCAGAACTGAAGGGTTCCGTGGGCCCCAACTTTTGGGCCAGTCCTTCCGTGGGAGTCTCTTGCGAGCACAGTTCTTGCCCCGCGCCCGGGCTGCCTGCAGAGCTGAGCGGGCTCCGCGGAGGGGCGTCGCGGGGAGGGGGGCACCCGGGGGTGGGGGGTGTCCCTGCAGGCTGGGGTGCAGGGGCGCCTGGAGGGCCCCGCGGCCCGGTTCCCCTGGGTGGGGAGGGTGGGGAGGGTTGCTGCGGCCGGCCCCGCGAGCTCCTGGGAAATGTAGTTTTCCCGGCCCGGGCCGGGGACGCCTTAGATTTGCATCTCGGGCTGGACCGGGCCGGGCGGGACGCGGGGCTGCAGGGGTGCCGAGCTGCAGAGGTGCGGGGCTGCAGGGGTGCGGGGCTGCAGGGGTCCCGGGCTGCAGGGGCTACCCCCGGCTAGAGCAGGCGCCCGCCCGCTGCGCACGGGCACGTACCTTTCTGCTGAGGAACTCCCGCACCAGGGAGGCGGCCACCTCCTCCACGAAGAGGCTGTCCATGCTGCCCGCCAGGCCACGAGGCCGCGGCCCTGCAGCCCCACAGCCTCCCCCACCCCCAGGTCGGTTGGGCCAGTAAGGCCGCGTTGCCGTGGAGACGGTGGCATCAGCGCCGGCCAGGCTCCTCCCCGGCGGGCGGAGCCACTTCCCATTCGCCTCTGCCTGCAGGAGCGGAGCCCGGGAAGCGGGAACGCGGGCCCGGCGCTCGGACCCGGACCGCGACCTTCTGGGTGGCCTGGACTCGGCTCTGCTGCACGCTGGGCTGCGTTCCCCACCGGTGTGAAACGGGGACCGTGTTTGCCTCTCGGCGCTGGACGTCCACCAGCAGAACCGCTGCCCGCTCCTGGTCTCCCTAACCAGGGATTGAGGCGGGGGGGGGGGGGGGGGGGGGAAGGCGGGGGGGATTCTGCTACTTTGACCCTGACATGGAAGGACAAGCCCACCCCTCCTCGGTGTCTGCTTTCCCACAGCCGGAGGCCCGATGAAGGAGCCCCAGAGCGCGCCACAAATCCTTATTCCTGCAAATCCCCCTGGCAGGGCGCTCGTTGAGGAGCATCCCTGAAAGCAAGGTGGAGACTCGGAGAGGTGAAGATTTTGCTGCTGCGACTGTCCGAACTCTGCCTGCTGTCTCAGCTTCCCGTCCTGCCCATGCACAACATCTGCACCTCATCGCCGGCATCTGTTGCACTGTTGCTACCACCCAATATTCCACAGTGGAGGTGTGTTTTCTCACAGCTCTGAAGCTTCCACGTAGGAGTCCGAGGGTTGAGCAGAGTGAGTCCCCTCCAAAGTCCCTTAGCTTGGAAGTGACACGGCCCTTCAGGACAGGAAGAAAACCCCTTCTGTGGCTTTCCTTATTGCAAGTCTGTGTCCTAATCTCCTCTGCTAAGGAATCGCTTCTCATTAGGCACCACCCCTAGACATGACCCTCTCCACAAATACTATATATATCCTGGGATATCAGAAGTTAAGGCTTCAATATATGGATTTAAGAGAGGAGGGGGGCTAATTCAGCCTGTAACGCCTACAGTGTTTCTGTTGTTCTGTTGGGAGGTAGGGTTGTTTTGGTTTTGTTTTATTTTTGTTTGGGGACCACACCCAGCCGTGCTCAGGGCTTACTCCTGGCTCTGCATTCAGGGATCACTCCTAAAAGGCTCAGGAAACCATATGGGAAGTTGGGGATCAAAGGTACTACCAGGTTCGAGGCGAGTGCTCTACCAACTGTACTATCACTCCAGTCCCTATTTTATTTTCTTTACACCAACATACATTTTCACGATGATTTTTTTTCCTTCCCTTTTTGGGCCACAATCTGCATTGTTGAGGGGTTACTCCTGGCTCTGCTCTCCTTGCGGTGTATGGGGTAAACCATCTGGGATGCCAGGGACAGAACCTGGGTCAGCTGCATGCAAGGCAAATGCTGCGCTATCAATCTGGTCCTCACGATGATTTTGAAAGCATTTCCAAGCAGTAATATCCATCACACCATGAGTTACACTTGCTTCTTCGAAATGGAAAACACCTTAATGCCAATCCAGCACCAGAAAGTTCCCTGCTCATCTAAAGTCATCTTCCAGCCCCCAGCGGCATGCCCACACACTTAGGAAGCAACCATGCCCCTTTCCTCAGGCTTCCTAGGAAACCCCAAAATACAGCAGACCATGTCGTCTCAGGCACCTCCTCCTAGCATGCAACTGTTCTCTGAGATGCCTCACTGGGGCATGTGATGACATAACAGAGCCAGGAAACCACGTGACCCTCAGGCCTGGGAGCCTCACCTTGCAGCTACGAGAACACATTAGTGGGTGTGTGACACTGAAGCACACATGACATAGTACAGGGGTACGGAGTTTGCCTTCTATGCAGCAGCCCCCGGTTCGACGCCCAGCACCACATAGGGTGCCCTGAGCTCCACCAAGAATGACCCCTGACCTGAGAGCCATGACTAAGCACTCAGCACAGGCAAAGGTGTCCTAAGGCTCTCATCCCTCCCCCCAAAAAGAAAGGAAAAGTAAAGAGATGTTTTTTAGAGTCATAGTGTCAGATCTGGCAGAATGAAGAGGGCTTCTTCTTCATAGAGGCAGACGAGGGTATAGTGAGAGCAAAGAGCTTAGACTTCATGTATTCATTCCGTTCTTCATGACTAGTTTGATGAGTGCGTGCCACAAAACCGGTGGACAGACACAGTGGACTTGGCCCCACAGAATCTGTGTCCTCTCCAAGGGAGGGGCAAAGGGGAAAAATACAGCAAGCAAAACAAAAATGTAGAAACACATGAAACATAGCAGGTAGTTAAAGAAAACAGAGAATAAATTTAAAGAGTTAAAGAGCTTTGATGGGAGCAGGCAGAACAGGATGGGGAGCTTCACACCAGGAGGTACTTGGGGATATACTCTCAGTCAGGCACTGGGGGAGTTTTTGCAGATCCAGGATCAAACCTGGAAGCTGGAGTGATAGAATAGTGGGTAGGGTGCTTGCCTTGCAAGCAGCCAACTCGAGTTTGATCCCTGGCATCCTATAAGGACCTCTGAGCACTGCCAGGAGTGATCCCTGAGTGCAGAAGCAGGGGGACACTTCTGGGTGTAGCCCCAAAACCAAAACCGAATAAAAATGGGGCTCCCCTATGCAAAACCTGCATTCTAGCCCTTTGATTAATCTCTGCAGCCCCCACACAATTTTCTTCAACTTTTTTTATTGAATCACTGTGAGATAGACCCTTACAAAGCAGTCCATGATTAGGTTTCAGTCATACCAACACCCATTGTTGGAAGAACACTCAGTCTTCCAACACCCATCCCTCCACCAGTGTACATTTCCCAGCACCAGTGTCCCCAGGTTCCCTCCCTCCCATCAACCGCCACCCTCATCCCCTGCCTGCCTCTACGGCAGGAGCTTCTCTCTCTCCTCTCTCTCTCTCTTTCTCTTTCTCTCTCCTTTTTCCCCTCTATCTCTCTCTCCTCTATCTCTCAGGGCATTCTGGTTTGCAATATTGATACTGAATGGTTATCAAGAATACTCCTTTACCTACTTTTAAGCCCTCAAATCTTGTCCTGCGTGATCATTCCCAGCTATTATTTTCATACTGTTCCCTTCTCTACCTTACCTACCCTCAACCCCACACACACACTTGTAGTTAGTTCCAACCATTGACCAGTCCTCCTAGGCCCCGTTTTCCCTGGCTATGGATATTATATATTTATATATATATATATGATATAGATTTTTATATGCCACAAATGAATGCAATCATTCTGTATCTGTTCCTCTCCTTCTGACTCATTTCACTCAGCATGGTGCTCTCCATGTCCATCCATTTACAGGCAAATTTCATGACTTCATTTTTCCTAACAGCTGCATAATATTTTATTGTCCTGCAGAATTTTTAAAAGCGTGATCCAAGGTGGCTGCTGTGGGGCATCGAGGCTGCTAGGTCTGATTGCCGTAGACTGAGTGACTTGGGAACAGCAGAAATTTTGTCTGTCATTCTGAGGCTGGAAATCCAAGACCCAGGTTCCAGCCTATTCACTGTCTAGCAGGGTCTGCTTTTCATGCTGCTGAAGATGTCTGAGGGTGCTCCTGGAGTCTCTTTTGGAAGAGCACTAACCTGAGAGTTCCATCATCAAGGCCAAATTACCCCCGAAAGGCTGGACTTGCAGGAGTATGTCCTGGGGCTCTCTGACTGTGCTCAGGGGCCCAAAAGTCATGCCCAGCAATACTCTGTAAAATTGAGCTGGCGATTCAATGCCAGCACCAGCGCTACTTGGGCCCATGGTACCGGAATTATATTGGTGATGCTTGGGAGGAGTATGGTGCCAGGCAAAGTATATGCCCTAACTTTTGTACTATTCCTGGTCCTAGGAGTTAGGGTTTTAACATATGAATTTTTAAGAAAACATAACCATTTATTTCAACTAGAACCATTTAGCCTGAAATAATTAATTAGGACTATTTTAGCAAATAGTTGGATATGTCGTTCCCAACATTCTCCCTTCCAAAATCCGACACGCCATTTCGTCGGTAAAGAAACAAACAGCACCCGGCCCAGGCAAGGTCAGACCTGAACACCTGAAGAACCTGCCGTCAGTACTCATCAATACACTGGCTCAGCTCTTCACTCGCTACCTGTCTGAATGCAAGGTTCCGTCCCAGTCAAAAACCAGCAGGACCGTACTACTGTTCAAGAAGGGAGACATCCATGACATTGGCAACTATCGCCCAATCTGCCTACTTTCTGTCATCTACAAGTTGTTCACTCGAGTCATCCTAAATAGGATTGGCAGAACACTAGATGAAGGACAACCATGCGAGCAAGCCGGGTTCCGCAAAGGATTCAGCACCATCGACCATATCTACACGATAACCAAGCTCATTGAGGTTTCTCGGGAGTTCAAGATGCCGCTCTGTTTAACGTTCATTGATTTAAAGAAGGCCTTTGATTCTGTTGAGACGGAAGCGGTCATTGAAGCCCTAGCCAATCAGGGCATTCAAGCCCAATACATCAGGATCCTCCGTGAGCTGAATTGCGGATTCACTACCAGGATCTCACCATTCTACAAAGAAGTGATCGTTGATGTCAGGAGAGGGGTTCGGCAGGGTGATACCATTTCACCGAAACTCTTCAGTGCCACCCTCGAGAACGTCATGCAACGACTGGAATGGGAAGGAATGGGAGTGAAGATAGAGGGTCGGCAACTACACCACCTCCGCTTTGCTGATGACATTGTTTTAATAACACCAAACATCAGCCAAGCGGCACAATTGCTGGCCGACTTTGACTGTGAGTGTGGAAAGGTAGGACTACAGCTGAATCTTACGAAGACAATGTTTATGAGAAACAGTCTCGTTCCTGACGCCCCATTCGCTCTCAACGGAACGACCATCTCTGAATGCAACAGCTATGTGTACCTAGGTCGAGAGGTCAACATGACAAATGACCTAGCACCCGAGCTGCGCAGGAAGAAGAGAGCGGCTTGGAACGCCTTCAAGAACGTCGAAGAAATAGCTAAGAGGACGTAGAACCTCCGGCTCCGGGCAC